ACCAAAAAATGCATGAAAACCTGCACTGAAACTGTGTTTAGGAATGAAATGCAGACTGTTTCTCCAAGTTAATTGTGTTTCTTGTAATTCCTCTGCCTACCATCACAATAGCTTTCACTATGTTCCCCACTTCTCTTCGCCTATTTGTCCGCATTACTTGTGTTTTCCTCCTTTCTTCGCATTGCGCTTGGTAACATTTTCGTCCTCATTTCGCCACGGCATGGTTTGTGTGGCAGTTGCTTCCTCTGAGGATTGCTTAGAAGGAAGTTGAGAGTAAATTTGGCTCCGTGGCACGCATGAGTACCAATTCATCATCGAAATAAGTGAAGGAATCATAAAGAGACTGTTTGTCATTGCGACCGAATGAAACATTTGATTTTTAGAACGAGAAGCGCTGGCATGCCAGTTGTACGAGAAAATAGAAACAAGAGACATGTTGGAAAAAACTGGGATTGCGGTAGCTTTTTTCCGGAATAATAAAATAGGAGACAGAGAAGCAAATGCCAGGACCATTAGGTAATAAAATTTGCTACAAGAACCATTAATGAATTGTCAATTGTTTTGGGATAAATTTATTTTGTGGTGAAATGGCGGCGATTCGAAGCATGTTTCATTCTGTATATTCATCTTGATCAGAAATCTCAGTACAGATCAAAGTTTCCTATTACGCACACCTTAGAGCTGAATTTGAAATCTTTGATTTCTATGTGGACGGGGAAAATGTCCTCAAAATTTCAGCTTTCTAGCTTTCCATGTTTTCGAGTTAGCGATCATCCTGCCAAAACTTTCACTTGCTCGTACACGAAACGGAGGCGTCCACAAGGGTTGCTACAACAGTTCCGCAGTAATCTATTCTTCAGCGCCGAAGCATACTTGGTTGTCGAGTTGAAATTTCTGGTCAGACACACATACAAACATACATGTGTACATACTAGAGTCGTCACAGCATGCGTTTTTGCATTTGCATATATGCAAAAAGGTATAAAAATTTACTTAGATTCTGCATAATCTCGGACATCTTTTTGAAAACTCAAAACTGAAACCTGCTCCACCTCAAATAAGAGAATAGCACTTGCTTCTGGTTTAAGTTACCGTGTCTTTAACTGCACTAGCAAATGGCAAAGTCACCGGCAGAAGCTTTATTACTAGCTAATCTTCACAAGGCAACCAGAAATTTGAAAACATGCAAAATAATTGACGCATCGAATTGTCTGGGCCTGTCAAATTTGAACTGCTTCATCCCCTCCCTGCACAGACTAGTTCCTCGAAACAAAACTGCTTA